TATGTTAAATCTGTCAGGAGTTTTACCTAATAATGTGGGCCGAGCGGAAGAGTGAGGCTTTTCTGATTATATCTTTGTACTGTCATATGCTAGGTGCGATTGAGTCAGTTTCCAACTCACGGTGACCTATGTGCACCAGAGCAAGACCCTACCTGGTCCTGCGCTACCACCACAACCTTTCCTCTGTCTGTGCTTCATGTTGACGTCAGTGTGTCAAGCCGTCTTCTTGAAGGTCTTCCTCTTTTTTGCTGTCTTTTCACTTCCTCAAGCATGCTGTCCTCTCCAGAGACTGGTTCTTCCTGATAACATGTCCAAAGTACTCGAGACATACTTTGTGCTAGTTAGGGTCATCTTTGTCCCCCTCGAAGGTCAGAGACTAAGCAAGGGTGGAGGGGATTGAAAGATATTCTTTCCAGGGGCCAGGGGCCATGGAAAGAGAGGTAATCAAGTAGAGTGAAAGCTACTACAAGAGTATTTATAGGGGGCCGTGCTGTGGTGGTGTAATGGATTATACATTGGCCTGCTAACCACCAGGCCAGTGGTTTGAAACCACCAGCCACTTCAAGGGAGAAAGACGAGACTTTCAGCAACTATAGAGATTTACAGTCTCAGAGACCCACAGGGGCAATTCTACCCTGCCCAATAAAGTTGCTATGAGTCAGAATTGAAGAATTGAGTTCCTTGCATGCTAAGATTTCTCCAGGGGACCGAAGGGAAAACCTGAAGGACTAAGGCGAGACTCTCACTCAAAATCTTACAGTCATTGAGTCTACTGCAACTCACAGTGATCCTATAGGACAGAGCACCTGTTGGTTTCAAAGTGCTCACCTTCAGGTTAGCAGCCCAATGTATATAACCCACTAGGCCACCAGGACTTCCTAATAGGAAGAGGCTAAGTATATGGATTCTGGGACTCCGCCCATATCAACTAAAGCAAGGTCAGGATTCTCTTTCTCTCTTAGGCTTGAGGCCCTCACTGATGGCTTTGCAGACAGCTCTGCATAATTCCGGGGGTTGCCCTTCACATTGACATCAAGATCGATGTGTTAGGTTTATGATAAAACATTTCTGGCAGCAAATGGCTTGCGGAAGTGGGCCTTTTCTAATTTGCAGAGTTACCGTTTTGATTAGTAGTAAAGCTGATGGTCTGCTCCATCCAGATGCGGTTGCTTTGTCTTAAAATTGGAGGAGCTAGGGCAGGGAGTGGATTCTGACCCACACTGTTTCCTGTGGCAGAGTAGAAACGCCCCAGATGGTTTCCTCGGCTGTTATTTTTAGGACAGCAGATGGCCAGGCAGTGAGTTGGTTTGCTTTTGAGTTTTATCCTGCAGAGCCGCTGCGTCCATCCCGGGGCTGATCTTTCAGTTCACAGCTGACCAACTCACTGCTGCCCTAGCAGAGCTCCTTCCTTCCAAAGCGTTATATCAGTGCCACCCTTGCTGAACTCACAGCCTCCCTAGATAAGGTTCGGGAGGTTGTCAGTCTTTACAGGAGTAGATAGCCTTATCTTTCTCCCAAGGAGCAGCTGGTGGGTTTGAACTGCTGGTCTTGAGGTTAGCAAGACAAGCTTACCTGACAGTGCCACAAATGATTATGTTGTGGTGGTTGTTAGGCCCATCTCGTAGCAACCCTATGTACAACAGTACGAAATACCACCTGGTCCTATAACATCCCCACAATTGTGCTTATGTTTGAGCCCACTGTTGTAGCCACTGTGTCCATCCATCTCATCAAAGGGCTTCCTCTTTTTTGCTACCCCTCCCTTTTACCAAGCATGATGTCCTTCTCCAGGGACTGGTCTCTGCTGATAATGCGTCCAAAGTACGTGAGACAAAGTCTCCCCATCCTGGCCTCTAAGGAGCATTCTGGCTGTACTTCTTCCAAGGCAGATCTATTTTTTATTTTGGCCGTCCATGATACTTTTAATATTCTTCTCCAACACCATAGTTCAAATGCATCAATTTTTGTTTAGTCTTCCATATTCAATGTCCAATTTTCACATGCATAGGAGGTGATTGAAAATACTACAGCTTGGGTCAGGTACATCTTAGTCCTGAAAGTAACATCCTTGCTTTTCAACACTTTAAAGAGGTATTGTGAGCAGATTTACCTAATGCAGTGCTTCCTTTGATCTCTTGGCTGCTGCTTCCATAAGCAATGATTGTGGATCTGAACAAGACAAAATCCTTGACAACTTCAATCTTCTCCGTTAATCATGATGCTACCTATTGGTCCTGTTGTGAGGATTTTGGTTTTCTTTACATTGAGTTGTAAACCATACTGAAGGCTGCAATCCTTGATTTTCGTCAGTAAGTTCTCTAAGTCTCCCTCACTTTTATCAAGCAAGGTTGTGTCATCTGTACATATCAGCTTGTTAGTAAACCTTCGTCCGTTCCTGATACTGCATTCTTCTTCATAGAGTGCACCTTCTCTAATGAT